CGAACACCCCGAGCATCGATGAAAGCGACGAGGCAAAAACGTTCATCAACGAGGCGGGGCGAGGCGTTGCGCCTTCTGGACCACATCCGTGGCAGCCTTCTCAGCGGCCTTCTTGTCCGCCTGGGACAGCGGTGCGATGCCTCCATGAGCAGGCTGGAAAGGCTTAGGGTTCTGAATTAAAGCATAGATGTGCTCAACCCCAGACAATTGCCGTATGTCAAGTCTTTGTGGTTCCGCCCGTGGGGCCGCATCTAAGTCTCTCAGACCTTCAGCTATCTGACTTTCAGAGAGCAAGAATGGGGTAGGTTTGGGGATTGTAGAAGCGTGTCTCCACGATGTAGAGTACTTGAAAGTATTGTTCTATTTCAGGAAACAACTGCTAAATGTAAACCATGCCAAAAAGTGGAATTGAGGATCACCGGGTGTAGCTTCAGATTCCGGAAAAGCGGTCACATAATTAATGGTAAGCTTTTGGCGCACCATCCAGCTTATCGCCATGTTCAAATAAACAACATTCAACTTCTCGCCCTTCTCGCCACATCGTCACGCCATGGTCACCTACTAGCAGTGTTGCATGAGTCGCCATACTTGACCTCCATCTGAGAGACCCGAGCTGCAGACACTTCCGGCACTGCAGGAGCTGCAGGCACTTCCGGCACTGCAGGCACTGCAGGTGTCACCGCTGCGGCCGCCTGGAGGAAAAACAAAGCCAAACGACAGTTTAGATCACCGGCTTTGCCAATTTTGTGGCTCAAAGGTTACTTGACTCTGGGAGCATCCAGGTGCTGATCAAGAAAACCTGCCACCTGCTTGGCACCTACTTGGGTCTGTCTCACGTGCTAGACACCCGAGCCTTTTCAAGAGCCTTCCAAGAAATGGTTCAACAACTCCTCATGTTTAAAACAAGGTGACAGTTGCACGCTGTGCATTGCGTCATGAAGTGGTTGAGAGTGTTTTTCCATGTCCGACCGACCGTATCCTTCCGCTCAAGGGAGGGACTTGTGCGCTGAAAAGCGCTGCGGGTGGCGCGCGTTCGTGCGCCGTGTTTCGTTTGCTGCCGGACTTCGGTTGCCGGCCTTGCTACCTCAACATTGGTAGCGGAGCCCTCCGGGGCTCTGCGATCTACGCTTTGAGGTCAACGGGGTTCTGCGGAAGTCCCGCGTCACCAACACGTTGCCGAGCTCTTCATTGCCCCGTTTGTTGAGCGCTTCCGGTCAACGACCACCTACTTGAAGAAGAATGCCGACGCAGGCAGCAGAAGTGAAAGAGACCTCCGAGCTCTACAACCTGCGCGACTCCTATGTCCCGGTCTTCTCAGGCCAACCAAGCGATTACCGAGAGTATCGCAAGAGGCTGGGCTTATACCACAAGAAGATGCAGCTCAGCAAGCGGACACGTGAGTCCATCCTCAACATCCTCGGAAGCTTTCAAGGCGTGACCTGGCGCCTCTTTGAGGATTTCTCAGTTGAAGATGCTGAGAAAGAGGACTCCTTCTCCAAGATCCTCGCCAAGCTGGATCAGAACTATGAGTATGATGACAGTGTCACCCTCCCCAACGACTTCGAGTTCTACTTCGTGACACTCCAGCGAAAGCCCCAGCAGAGTCTCTTGGCCTATGTCACCGACTACGATGAGGCCTACAGACGCCTGAACCGACACAAGGTGACCTTGCCCGCTGCAGTCCAAGGATGGCATCTCTTGAGGCGAGCTGGCCTATCTCGTGAACAGCGCCAGCTGGTGACCTTGAAGGCACCAACCCTTGAGAAGAACAACGTCATAGAGGCCATCTACCTGCTCTTCGGCCAGGACTATAAAGCTGGAGGCTGGGCACCAGAGAAGGACAAGCGTTTTTCTCGCTGGAAGGGTCGCGGCTATGCGGCCATGGAGGAGGATCCTGAAGCCTGGGACGCCTATGAGGAGGGCTACTGGGGTGAGGATGATTGGGCACCTGAGCCTGACTATGAAGACTATGGGGACGACCCCGAATTCGACGTCAACGCTGGCTACTATGGGGAACTTGAAGAACATGACTATGACGAGTCAACCCCATTGGATGATGAGCCAGCAGAACTTGCCAGCACCTACGACCATGCCTATGCCATGTACCTGGACGCCCGACAACGATTTCAACAGTTGAAGATGGCTCGAGGCTTCATGCCTGTCGTGGCGCTGACTGACAACCAGACCACGGTCCCCATCGGTGCTGGTCCTGTCCCAAGTGGTTCCAAAGGAAAGGGCAAGACCCAAAGCAAGGGCAAGTCAAAGAAAGGAAAGGGTCAGAATGTGGTCCGCTATCCCTACACCGCGGCCAAAGATGCTGATCCTCGTGGACGTGCGAAGGCCACCAACTGTTTGAGGTGCGGCCAACCTGGCCACTGGGCTGCAAACTGTCCTCAGAATGCGAAGTCCTCTTCACCGACCTCCTCAAACAAGAGACCTGCACCTGGCTCTACTGAGGGTATGGCTTTGAAGTCTGAAGAAGCTCTCGTCCTCTTCCAAGATGAGTATGGAGCTGAACGTGTTGACGCCACCATGCTGGACCCCGGAGCTTCTGCATTCTTGAGCGGCTATGGTCCCTTCGTGCGCTACGTCAAGCATTTGGAAGAGCTGGGCTATCCTGTGAACCAGATTCGCTTTGCTCGATGCGAGCGTCGCTTTCAGTTTGGAGGTGATGCATCAGCCCAAGCTCGATGGACGGTCGACCTGCCTGTGACGGTGGATGGTCAGCTGGGCACAATCCAGTGCTACTTGGTACCGGGCAACACGCCTATGTTGATGGGTCGCCCAGTTATCGAAGCTCTCCACATGAGCATGGACTTCAGTGGTCGCATGCTGCGCTTTGGCACTTCGCCCTGGCAGCCAGTTCTGGTTGGCAGACATGGCGAATACCTGATGTCGCTCACTGAGGGCATGGAATGGCAGACTGACCCAACCAAGAGCCTCTTTGCCCTGCACATCGCTGAGGAAGTGCCTGGCAGTGCTCTCTATCTGCCTGACTTCAATGCTGCCGAGCATGTGTTCACGGCCGAGGAGGATGAACTCAAGGATGAGCTGGACACCAGCCGATTGCCTCGCCATGCTCTTCGCACCATGGAGCTTGCACTGACCGCCCGAGTCACCGAGGCTGAGAACCTCATCACGCAGTCCCTTCATGAACCACAAGACCAACGGCGAGTGCTTTGGGAAGTGTACACTGGTAAAGCCCGCACTTCCTCTATCGCCGAATCCTTGGGCATGAGAGTGGAAACCTTCAGCCTTGACAATGGCTGGGACTTCAACTTGATCAAGCACCAACAGCAATTCCTGGCCCGACTTGATGAAGAACAACCTGACGAATTGTTGATGGCTCCGGAATGTCGCCTCTGGTCTCGCATGCAGACACTGGCCTGCCGAACACCTGCACAACAAGAAGCACTACAAGCACGTCGAGATCACCACCATCGACGGCACCTTCGCTTCGTTCGTCGAAGTTACCTCACTCAGGTCAAGAATGGGCGACACGCCACTGTTGAACAACCTCGACATGCCCTGAGCTGGAAAACTGGTGCTTTGCGAGATCTACCTGGCTTCGCAGTCAGCTTCGACCAGTGCTGTTATGGAGCTATGTGTTTGGATGTCGATGGCATTTGGAAGCCATTAAAAGGGCACCAGGTTTCAAACTACGAAGAAAGCCATCGCTGAGGCCTTCACGCTGCAGTGTCCTCATGACCATGAGCATTGCCCACTGGAAGGCCATGCACCTGGCCTCGGTCCTCGAACGTCGTATCTCGAGAACTACCAGCCCGGCTTCGCCTCGACACTTGCAGCAGCCTTGATGGTTCCTGAAGCTCCTCACGCCTGGGAATGGGCGTACACGGTGGATGATGAGAACCTGGGCAAGCCACTTGGACACTTGTCTAAGCTCCACGTGGAACATCGGCAAGATGCCCTTCGAGTCGTGCAACGACTTCATCGCAATCTGGGTCATCCAACACCTGATGCCCTGGGTGATCTGCTTGCCGCCCGTGGTGCCCCAGAAGCAGTGATCAATGCTGCTCGAGCCTACAAGTGCGTGGCCTGCCTCAAGCATCGAAAGCCCAACCAGAGTGCCCCTTCAACTACGCCCACTACCAGAGAGTTCAACGATGCTCTCCAAGCTGATGTGTTTTACATCAAGCGCCAGGACACCAAGTTCTCCATCATGAGCCTTGTCGATGTTGGCACCAGATACATGGCCTGCTACCTTCTCACCGATGAGACCTCTGAGTCCTACATCCAGGCCCTGGAAAAGATGTGGTTGCGACATTTTGGTGCACCCCGACAGCTCATCACTGATGAAGGACGACCCTGGCTGAGCGGCATCTTCGACAACTGGACTAGTCCTCATGGCATAGACCACCAAGTTGCACCTGGGGAAGCTCATGAACGGCTAGCTCTGGTGGAACGGCGACACGCCGTCATCAGAAAAGCATGTGAGATCTACCTGGATGACCGCAAACTTCATGACCGCGGCGGCATCCGTGAAGCGTTGACCTATGTCATCCCACAACAGAATGCCACTCCTACTGTGGCAGGCTTCTCACCAAGCCAATGGGTCCTTGGCTATCAACCTGAAGCAGCACATCTCCTGAGTTCCAACTTGAATCCATCCCAACTGGCTGGCAACAACCGGACCTTCGAGCACATCCTGGAGCGCAGAACAGCCGCCAAGGTAGCTTTGACCACAGCTGACGCTGATGACAAGCTGCGCCGTGCTCTTGGCCGTCGCTACCAAGGCCAAAATCGAGAGTTCAAAGTTGGTGAACGTGTATGGTTCTGGAGAGATGCACGCCAAGGTCTGCTCAACAAGATTCGCTGGCTTGGTCCCGCCTATGTGGTGTTGAGGGAGGAGGAGACCAATGACAAGGTCCAACGGGTCAAGCTTTACTGGTTGGCTTACAAGACTCAACTCATTCGAGCAGCACCACATCATGTTCGAGCCGACATCCTTGGACCTCAACATCTGTTGGACGACCTACAGACTGCCACGAACCAGGTTCGACAGCTGAAGTCTCGCGGCGTCACCAGGTACTTTGACCTTCGACGCGTCAACCGACAGCAGTTAGATGATGTTGATGAAGATGAAATGAAGGATGAGGCCGATGGCTCTTTTGATGAACATGATGGTGACCCTGATGAGCCACCGCGACATCGACTCCGACTTGAACCACCTGCAGCACCAGCACAGCCGGACACCCTGGCTGATGACGATGGTGGCGACTACACGCCAACCTCACCGGCACACTCTGGACATGCACCCACATCACCACGAGCACCACCTGATGCACCACAACCAGCTGATGTGGCACAAGTGCCAGTGCCCCAAAGTCCACCACAGTCTCCAGTGTCCAGACACTCGAGATCACGACCGCCAAGCACTGCTGCGGAACCCAGTGAAGAGCCTGCGATTCCCACTCCTCATGGAGATCTTCATCTGCCTCCTGAGTCAACGACGGCCTTGGATCCTGCAACTGCCTCGCTGTATCAACCTCATGACATCGAGACAGAGACCTTTCAGCAGCGACGGGCACGCTTCAATTTGCAGGAGACCATTTCCTTTGGTCCCATTCGCAACCGGCGAGTGACGGACACACCTTATGGATCACGAGAACCCAGTGCAGCGCCTAGCCCTGAGGCTATCCCAAAGGCACCAGCTGCACCTCCGCCAGCTCCACCACAACCAGGAGAGGCAGAAGAACAAGCTCTCATGTCTCAGGCATTTCAGGTGACCTCCATTGACACCAATGCCTTGCCCAGCGGATGGTATTTCCGCAATGGCTACTTTGAGCTTGAGAAAAGGGAGCGTGACTACTGGGAAGTCCGTGCTGGATGTCTGATACGCCACCACTGTGTTCCACGGAGGCACAAGATGAGCCTGCAGCAGCTGCCTGATGATGCACCCTTCGCTGTACACGATCTGGACAATGTTCGGGTGACAGTGATCTATGAGAACAATGGCCGATGCTCACAAACCACCGATGATGGCACATGCACCAAGCCACCATGCGCCACCTCATGGACTGGCGCAACGATCTTTCAGATCAAGAGCTCCGTTCGCAAGGAGTATGCCATGTATGCCAAGGCACCACTTCATGGAGCACGACAAGTAGGAAAGATGGTCAAGCAAAAGCACACCAAGGACCACAAGAAGATGAACAAGAGTGCCAACACCTTGTCCGAGCGGACAATGACGCCCGACGAACGTGCCATGTTCAAAGCTGCAAAGGTGAAAGAACTACAGTCCTTCTTTGACAACAATGTCTGGGCCTTCGAAACAAGCCGAGAAGCTCAGCCCTCAAGAACACTGACCAGCAGAATGTTGCTGAAATGGCCCAAGCACCCTGACGGGTCCCCACGGGCAAAAGCACGCCTCATCGTGCGCGGATTCCAAGATCCGGACGCCTGGGATGGAACAGTCCCGACTTCATCACCAACAACCACGAGGCTGTCCCGGTCCGTCTTGCTGAGTTTAGCCGCCACTATGTCCTGGGGGGTTTGGACTTCAGACATCTCCACCGCCTTTCTGCAAGGAAAACCTCAAGCACGCAAGCTATGGGTCCAACTTCCTGCTGAATGTCTCCAGTTGTTGGGCGCTGGTCCTGAGACCAGGATGCTTCTACTGAAACCTTGCTATGGCCAGATCGACGCTCCTCGAGCATGGTATCTGGCTGCGGTGGAGAAGCTGCGTGCCATGGGTCTGAGACAGCACCCACTGGATCCTTGCTGCTTCCTGATTTGCGAAGGTGATCTGAACCCGGACTTTGACTTCGATGCAATCTCACCTCACCTTCTGGGAAGCTTTGGCGTGTGTGGCATGATCATCATGCATGTTGATGATATGTTGGGATGTGGGTCCTCCGACTCCAAGTGCTACCTGGACACCATTGCAAAGCTCAAGAATACCTTCACCTTCCGTGAGTGGAAGAGCGATGAAGGTCACGATGCCCTGACCTACTGTGGCTGTGACATCAAGCCGAGCTCCAATGGAGGCCATGTCCTGGACCAAACGGCCTACATGAAGAAGGTCAAGCCCATCGCCTATGACAAGAAGAGAGACCTCACAGAATCTCTCAGTGAGAGCGAGATGACACAACTCCGTGGTCTGCTGGGCTCTTTGCAGTGGCCCGCCACTCAATCCAGTCCTCACCTACAAGGGAGCACCTCCATCTTGAGCGGCCAAGTGACACGAGCCACCTTGCAGACTGTGGCTGACAGCAATCGCCTTCTCAAGTTCGCCAAGGACAACTCCGATGTTGGGCTTTGCTATGAGCATCTTGGTTCACTGAACCAGCTGCGAGTGCTGTGTTTTTTTGATGCTGCTTTCGCAACACGTTCAGATGGCAGCTCACAAGCTGGCTACATCATCTTGATGATCAACAAGGAGTTGTTGCAGCATGACGGCCCCGAAGGTGCCTACCACGTGCTGGACTGGAGGAGCCTTAAGACTCCACGTGTGGCTCGCTCCTCCTTGGGAGCAGAAGCTCAGGCCGGAGGCCAAGCATGTGACGCCCTGGAGAATGTGTGCGTCTACTGGAACCACCTCCTTGATCCTCGCCGACCTCTGAAAGAGTTGCTGGAAGCTCCGTGTCCTCTGGAGCCCACCATGGTGACCGACGCCAAGGCTTTGTACGATTCATTTCACCGTGAAGGTGTCGGCAGCTCAGTGGTGGACAAACGAGTGTCCTTGGAGGTGCGGGTCATGAAGGAGCGCCTTCTGTCTCTGGGCGGCAGCCTGCGTTGGATGTCTTCGGAGCGCCAAATGGCTGATGGCCTCACAAAGGAGAGCGCGAGAACGCTCCTGGTTCAACGTCTTCGATATGGACAGCTGAAGCTGACCTGGGATCCTCACTACAAGGCTGCAAAGAAGAAAACAAAAGAAGAGCTCCAAGCAAGTTTGCAGGAGAGCACGACCGCCAGCAGCCCAGTGAAGTTGATGCCGGCGCCTTTGCCTGGCCATGAAAGTGAAGTTGAAGTTGGGAAGCATGAGTTTCCTTTGGACAGCCACCTCCCCGAGGAGAACTATGAGATGAACACCGAGCACCAACTGGCTGGCTACTTGGCCCACACCAATGGAGTGCTCACGTATGTCTCCCGGGCCGGTCCGAGCCATGTCGAGCCATGGCACCTCATGTCCTTTGTCACTGGCAACCCCCTGAAGTTTTTCATGGTCATGATGTGTTTCTTTTTACCACAAGTGGCAGCTGCCACCGATGAAGAAACCATGGTGACGGGAGCTGGCATGTTTGAGCTCATCTTCACCACCGCCATCTGCTTGCTGCTGAGCACCATGTTTTTGCTCGGTCGCTGGAGCGCTGGTCGAACCCAGGTCACCACCTCAGAGATCGGGGTTCAAAAGGAAGAAGCCTTGGTCCCTCACCGCCTTCGTCTCGAGAACAAGAGGCTTCAAGGTGAGCTGAACACCATGGAGCTGAAAGCCATGGAGGCGCAGAGAGCCGCGGATGAATTCCAGAGATCGCTCAATTTGATCCTGGAAGAAAGCTGCATGTCCAACCAGCTGCTTGCGCTGGGTGCGGCGCTTTTGAGAGCCTGTGTCCGAGAGATGGACAACCACCGAGCTGAGTGCCCTTTGCAGCGCGGAGTCCTGATTTGCAGGAGAGGCCGCCGCTTTCATTTGACTGCAGAATGCAGCAGTCTAGCGGGCAGGGATGTCCGGATGCAGGATGAGTACTTCCACTGTGAACTTTGCAGTGGACGAGTTCTGCCTCCCGACTACGTCACGGCACCAGCTCAGCCAGGAGGATACACCTTAAGGGTCTCCATCCAAAATTGGCTGCAGGCTCATGCCACGCGCTACGGCGCGATAGCCTCTCCCCCATGACAATTGCACGCTGTGCATTGCGTCATGAAGTGGTTGAGAGTGTTTTTCCATGTCCGACCGACCGTATCCTTCCGCTCAAGGGAGGGACTTGTGCGCTGAAAAGCGCTGCGGGTGGCGCGCGTTCGTGCGCCGTGTTTCGTTTGCTGCCGGACTTCGGTTGCCGGCCTTGCTACCTCAACACAAGGGTTTTTTGGTTCAAAGCGGACCAGGATTCCTCGGGGGACCAAACAATTGCCGAACATCGGAGTTTGGCCGGAATGTGGAAGTGGGAAGCAGCCGTTCCCAACAGGTGCCTGTCCCTGCTGGGTTGGCATGGGGCGGTCCGGAACTGCTTGGTATCGGCGTCTCCGAGCTCACGTCTTTGGAGATCCTTCCACGCTCCCCAAGGAGGTCGCGGTCCGGCGACGGCCTTCTTTGCAGCAGCTTTGGCGTCAGCTGCTGCCTTCTCAGCAGCCTCATGGTAACAAAAGACCCGCCGACTGGCTGATGGAGGAATCCAGGTACACTGCGGATGGGTCAAAAACTAGAGCTCCGGTCACACTGTAGGTTGACCTGGCTAGTAGGTCAACCAAGGTCTCCTGGTTTTGATCCACAGCCACATGCGACTTGACTGATGGTTCTGGTCAAAAATCGCCCAAAACGTGTGGTTTCTTCAGTGGCTTTACAGTGCACAAGCAGTCAAGTCAGAGGATGACATGAGACTCGCTCTTCAACCCCGGAGGTGTTAGACATTATGGTGAGAGCCTCTTTTGGAAGAAAAGGATGCTCTCCTATTGAGGGATCCGGCCCGGATGCGGGATGGACCCATGTAACTCAAAGCCATCCACTTGAAAGGCAAAAAATGGAGACATCTAAACCAAAGCCAGCCAGAGATATGCTGAATGTCTTCTGACCTTCTGTTCGTTGCTCCAAGCAATGATTCTTCGGCCGCTGATTTCACCACATTCGACAATATGAAAGATGTTCTTAAGAGTTTTGTTGAGGAGCTCTTGATAAAATTCTTGCTGAATCAGCAGTTTCATTGAGAAAACATGAACGGAAGCATGCTTCCTCCAGCGTGCTGTCCGTTGCTACAGTACAGTTCCTGTGCTCTACTAGAGGTGTCATCAATCTCCTCACCCCAAACCACATCCTCATCCATCCTCATCCATAGACCCCCGTTCGGCACCTCCTTGGCGTCAGCTTCCGCCTGCTTCTGTGCCTGGTGGTCAAACCCACATCTGGATCTCATGAACTAAAACCTCCTGGGCCTGGAAATGCAAAGCCTTCTGGAAGGGTGGTTGTCAGATCAACTGTCTGCCAGGACCTTCCTTCTGAGGTGTCACCTCTTAGAGGTGATTTGAGGTGTCCCAAAACCACCTGTTGGAGGGTCCTGGTACATGATGCGGGGAGATGCGTTTTCATGTTTACCGTCATGGCCGCATGGCCACCAGCGGGCTGTGGAGACGGGTCGAGCTGCCGGCTTGGAGCAGCGAAGGTGCAACAGAACCAGAAGCCCAAGCCCGATGCAGCCCGACGATCTCCAGATCAAGGTCGCTGGAGGATCAAGGTTGCTGGTACATGTGCCCAACCGAAAGAAAGAAGACTGGAAGAAGCCGAAGAACCCTAGCCCTAGCCTTCCAAAACTGCAAGTATTGGATACCAAGAGAACTAGGAAAACATCAACGAGACCACCCCCGAAGAAAAGGAACGCTCTTTCCCCACGCTCTGGTGGACTCGTTCGCGGCGAGTGCCAACTCGCACGGCGTTCGTGGCGGCCTTGGCGAGGCTGTCGGCCACCTGCCACTTCGCGAGGGTCGACGGGGATCCGCGAGGGCTCTATTCCGAGAACACCTTGCCGGCTCGACCCTGGGCCCACCAAAAATGTAGTCTTTTGTTGGCCCATATCATGTGCAGGTATGTCCGAACTAGACTAGACTCCAAACAAGAAGACCCTCCAATGTTCTCTGAGCCTGGTGATTTTTCTATGCAAGCCAGGCGGTCCACTCATGACTTCGGGGTCAGACGACCCGTCCAGACGACCGTTCGAGTGACGAAGAAGCGGGGTATCAAACACATCAGACTCGGCTTTGCTCCAATGGAACACTGCATCGTTTGGAAAAGCGAAAAGCTCGTTTTGTTTCTTGGTTTCTGGTGAATTAGAACTAATTAGACCAAAAAGGTCAGTAGCGAAGTGGGTTGTATTCCCATGTATTCCCCACTAAACCATCCATTGGCAGGATTTGGGGTCGTAGCTCATCCACGTCCGTCTCCTCAGCTGTTTGGCTGACTCTGTTGGGCCGCACCATGCCACACCCTTTCTCCGCCCTTCCTTCACGGAAGCATTGCGGCGCCTTCTTTGCAGCGGCTGCGGCCTTCTCTTGCGCCTGGACATCGAACTGGCATCGGAACGTGGGCCGAAACCGGCCGATGCCGATGGTGGAACGTCAGCTGGAAATCTGGCTGAAGGGGTGCGAGAGTGCCCGGCGAGGGAGACCTTGTTGTGATGGCGTTCATGTGAAGAATGTGATCTTCCCTTCCAAAACCATCACGAGAAGACCGAAGGACGTCACGATTCCATGCAGTTCAACATGGTTCAAGCTGTTCCCTGGTTGAAGTTCTTGAGCTCATTGCAAACCAGTGAAATTGGAAGTATTGCCGCATTGCCTTACAAGTTCTGGACAAACCTCTAGGCAGTTACCACTCTTGTCCCACCTCCTTGGTCTGGGCGGCCAAATCCTCCGCAGCCTCACGTGCCGTCCGGGTGCCAGGACGTCAGTCCGTTCGTCGCACGGGACGCCTTGTTTCAAGGACTGGACGTCCGAGCGGTACGTCATGGACCAAACCCGCCATCACGACCCGGAACGGCTCAGTCCGCTTCATTGACTTTAGGGTTTGGGGTTTAGGGTTAGGGTTTAGGGTTTAGGGTTGAACGTCCCTCAGTTCTGACGATGTCACACTGGAGAAACACGCATGCGTGAACTAACGCTCCCTCCGCTCACGTGCAACGAGTGAACGCGAGTTCCATGAAGAGGAAGGAGCTGCAGGGTCGGGGAAGTGGCTAGCTGGTTGGGACTTCACTGGAGCAAAGTGCCAGGGGATGCCTATGGATTCTGCAGCTTGACTTGTGCTTGTTTTCATGTTCAGATCAACCCGTTAGGAACTACTTAATCTCTAGAGCTGCCAGTCACAACAAACTTCACAACGGCGTTTCTTGAAAAGCCCGTTTCGAAGCTCCGCTGGCATTGGCGAACTGTTTGCCAAGTCTGTTTTTTAACAAGATGGAGCCCACGAACCCGAATGCAAACACGATCCAAAAAGATATATACATATGTCCCAATGACACTCTTGTAGGACACTCTTGTGGGACACTCTTGTGGGACACTCTTGTAGGATACTCTTGTGGGTCACTCTTGTAGGACACTCTTGTGGAACACTCTTACAGGACCCTCTTGTGGGGCACTCTTGTGGGACACTCTTGTAGGACACTCTTGTGGGACACTCTTGTAGGACACTCTCGTGGGACACTCTTGTAGAACACTCTTGTGGGTCACTCCTATGGGCACTCTTGTGAGACACTCTTGTAGGACACTCTTGTGGGACACTTTTGTGGGGCGCTCTTGTGGGAAACTCTTGCAGGAAACTCTTGTGGGACACTCTTGTAAGACACTCTTGTGGGACACTCTTATAGGGCACCCTTGTGTGACACTCTTCTGGGACACTCTTGTAGGACACTCTTGTGGGACCCTCTTGTGGGACACTCTTGTGGGTCACTTGCAGGACACTCTTGTGGGTCACTCTTGCGGGACACTCTTGTAGGACACTCTTGTAGGACACTCTTGTGGGACACTCTTATAGGACACTCTTGTGGGACACTCTTCTGGGACACTCTTATAGCGCACCCTTGTGTGACACTCTTCTGGGACACTCTTGTAGGACACTCTTGTGGGACACTCTTATAGGACACTCTTGTGGGACACTCTTGTGGGTCACTTGCAGGACACTCTTGTGGGTCACTCTTGCGGGACACTCTTGTAGGACACTCTTGTAGGGCACTCTTGTGGGTCACTCTTGTGGGACACTCTTGTGGGACACTCTTGTAGGAAACTCTTGTGGGACACTCTTGTAGGACACTCTTGTGGGACACTCTTATAGGACACTCTTGTGGGTCACTCTTACATGACACTCTTGTAGGACACTCCTTGTGGGACACTCTCATAGGACACTCTTGTGGGTCACTCTTATGGGACACTCTTGTCGGACATTCTTGTGGGACACTCTTATAGGACACTCTTGTGGGTCACTCCTATGGGACACTCTTGTCGGACATTCTTGTGGGACACTCTTTTGAGACACTCTTGCAGGACACTCTTGTGGGGCACTCTTGTGGGACACTCTTGTGTGACACTCTTGTAGGAAACTCTTGTGTGACACTCTTGTAGGACACTCTTGTGTGACACTCTTGTAGGAAACTCTTGTGGGACACTCTTGTAGGACACTCTTGTGGGACACTCTTATAGGACACTCGGACACTCTTGTAGGACACTCTTGTAGGACACTCACTCTTGTGGGACACTCTTGTGGGACACTCTTGTAGGACACTCTTGTGGGACACTCTTGTGGGACACTAGAAGCAGTCCTGCGAGCGTTTCGTACGAGACGTCCTCCAAAAGTCATGCTTCGAGGCTGCAAGACGAGCGTTTCGTACGAGACTTCCTCCAAAAGTCATGCGTCAAGCCTCCAAGACGAAGGTTTCGTACGAGACTTCCTCCAAAAGTCACACGTCAAGTCTCCAAAACGAGCGTTTCGTACGAGACTTCCTCCAAAAGTCACGTGTCAAGTCTCCAAAACGAGCGTTTCGTACGAGACTTCCTCCAAAAGTCAAGCGGAAACACCCATCGGAGCACACACATCACGCAGCCCTGCCAAGCAGTTTCGCGAGTCCAGCCCCTCCAAACAATACTCGCTCACACGCCAATCCCAATGTGACAGCGACATTCACCCCTACCACAACTCACGACCTCACGATTCCCTGCGCCTGCCATGCATCTTTCCGCGTCCACACGTCTAACGCGCACAAAGTACTGCGCCTACCACGAAATGTCACCTCCGTCACACCTCGCAACCTCACGCTTCCCTGCGCCTGCCACGAAAATCGCACTTCCACACCTCAAAACCCGCACAAAGTACTGCGCCTGCCACGAAAAGTGACAATATCATCTCACGTGAGCTTCTACAAAATTTGCACCACACCACACGTTTGGAATGATTTCGACCCGTTCTGAGCACACTCCCATCCACCAAAATCGCCATTTCAGCTGAGACTTGTCGCGAAAACAGAGCTTCGATGCCCTTTCCTGAAACGCAAATCCCAATGGTACAGCCACATCCAACACCCCAAAAACACGACTCTCCAAACGCTAATCCCAATGGAACTGCGCAGCAAACTGCGGATCTCACAAAACGCTGCACCTGCGCAGTGAAATCATCCCCCACACTTCAACATCTTACATTTCCACACGATTCCTCGCTATTTCACACGAATCTGACACGTCACGTTTCCATCCGAAATCCTCTCCAAAAGCTTCCCCCAATGGCAGCGCCTTAGCGCTCTACTGCGAACACCTGCGAACGGTTGCGGACGGTTGCGAACGGTTGCGGACGGTTGCGAACTTACGGGTCACGAACAAGGCTTACCCCCAGACCCCAAGAGTTAAACGAGAACCCTTCGCTACGCGTTCGGGAAAAATTGCGTAGTTGCCAAGCCATGCGGAGTTGGATGTGACATGGATCAAAAGAAGGCAGTCCAGGAGAGGGCCAGTCCGAACATGGTCAGCGACGAGTAGGACTCTCCATGAGTCAAATCTCAAGGCATCCTGACTTCACTGAACTCGCTTCTGTTCCACCAACCAAGGAAAGAAACTAACGAAGACTAACTACAAACAACCAAGTACGCCAGGAAACGCCTCCTCTCACACACCAATAGACGGCACACCTTCTTTGCTTCGGCCGCCGTCTTCTCAGCAGCCGCGGCCGCCTTCTCAGCAACCTCCAACGGGGAATGCCCCCAACGGTGGGAAACGGCGGCCAACTGGCATTCTATTGACATGGAAAAAGGATACATATGGATACATAAAATACAAAATGCATCCAAAATACTACCTATTAAATGGACAGTGTTGTAACGGTGGACCTCTTCCATGTAGCGGTACCATTGAACGGTCCATTTTTAGCGGTTCCAAGGTTAACGCCGACCGAAAAGAATGAGATTGTCACAGACCTCTTCCACCGACGCGTGGCCCGGTCGCGTCTCGCTTCGAAAGAGAAAGAGAGAGAGAGAGAGAGAGAGAGACGCGCAGCGCAAAATGGTGGAGACGGGGGCAGCTGCTGGAAGTTCTCCCAACTCAGTGGGCACGTGGATGCTTCTTTTGGCACGAGGAGGGCACCCAAAATACCGGTTCAAAACAAATACGTGAATGTCAGGTCATGGAAAGGCAAACAAGGCGCGGTTTTACTACTCACACCTGCTTACGTAGCATGTGCCGGCATTTGCCGTTTGTTCGGAACCGTCGAGAGATTTCTGCTTGGGCCCAGTGGCAGATCGGTAGATGGCCAGTCCGAACTAATCAGAAGTCAGGCGCCCCCCAATTTGGTCTTCCCACTGCAAGAAAGCACTCGGTCTTGACGCTTCTCCCATTGAATGGCCAATCCAGATGTCGAGATCTTCTGAAAAAGTTGAGCCCCTGGATTCTGTGTTTCCGCTTCACCTACTTCTCTCCACGGCTTTCGTGGAAGACCTGGCGTTTGTTCGAGTGAAACTCAGGTCTGTCCCTTCCGGCACCCTGAACAGCTCCACTTCCCCGCCTCCTTGGCATCCGCTTCCGCCTTCTCCTGCGCCTGCGGGAAAAAAAGAACGTTCCGAGCTCGGGAAGCAGAAGGCGGATGGAAGCAGAAGGGCGGTGGGGGGATCGCATCCGGAAAGCAGAGTCTGCTGCAGAGGTATCTGATGAGTGGTATAGCCTGTATAGCTAAGCTAGACGCACTGAGTGAGCCGAGAAGTGGAGGCTACTGAACAAGCAAGTCTGCTCCTTCCAAAGGAAGAGTCTGCTCCTACCAAAATACTGACCGGGTTGACTCTCCTGGTGGACCGGTCGAACTTGGACCGCGGCTCCAGGTAGGTCACGACCCGTGACCCATCCACACTTGTATTTGTATTTTAATAAGCAGATTGCCTGGCCCAATGGGTTTTGGCCTATTTCCATTCTTCCAAGGGGTCGTTACCTGGGAGGTCTCCCCATTTTCATCCACACTTCATTGCTGGAGACTTCTGGTTTTTGTGTCGTCCGCCAAGGCCTTCTTGGTTTGAGCGGCGAGCTTCTGGGCTGCCTCACCACATCCGGGCGGTGCGCTACGCTTCCGCTCGCGCTCGCGTGGACCCGCCGTTCGTTTAGGTTGGCCTTCGGACCGGAAACAAAGAGCTTATGGCAACTTTCCGATGAGTAGGGAGATAAAAAGGAAACCACATGAAACCACATAATGGGAGAATCTCCTCATTCTCCTCCTTGGACGTAGCTTTTTTGCTACTGTGATAAAAACAGGTCAAATGTTCACCCGCATCGTTTCTTGAGAGTTCTCCAAATGTCAATTCCAAGGCCTTCTTGGCCTGCTCAGCAAGCTTGTCGGCTGCCTCTCTGGCAACACCCACACGAGCTTTGGTCATCAAGAAACGCAGCCAAGACGGCAGAAAAGAATTAATTACTTTACTTCGAGTGATCCCCGCCATAACATTTCAATCATTTGTCTTGATGCCATAGTGAGGAGCATGTTGCCATGGTCGTGAGTATTGTAGTTCTCGATTTTGCTTGTGGGTCCTCGGGTTGTGTGTTTGTGGTTGTGTGTTTGTGATTGATTTTGCGATTGTGTGTTTGTGATTGTGGTTGTGGTTGTGTGCTGTGGTTGAGGTCCAGCAGGGAACACTGGGCGCGGATGGTCGTGGTTGAGGTCCAGCGGGGAACACTTGGGTCTGGAGCTCGCGGTTGAGGTCCGGCAGGGAACACTGGGCGTGGATGGTCGTGGTTGAGGTCCGGCAGGGAACACTGGGCGTGGATGGTCGTGGTTGAGGTCCGGCAGGGAACACTGGGCGTGGATGGTCGTCCGGCGGAGGAGGACGCGGAGGAGAAGGAGGAGGAGGAGGACGAGGAGGAGATGGGGCTGTCCTAAAGTCTAACAACCCTCACCTTACAGGTGAGGGTGAGGAAAAAAGACCAGTAGCAAGGACGCGACTATGTCGGAGGCCATCGCTAGTAGGTTGGAGGCCATTGCTACTAGTAACAAGAAACTACTAGTAACAAGGTGTTTTACTACTATGGCATCCTATGGCAGCTGATTGCTCTGTGGGACACAGAAGCAGCTCCCTTTTTCTGTGACGGCCATGGCGGCCATCCTACCTCCGGACGCATTGGGCACCACCCCGCCAAAAAGCGGCCAGATGTCAACGTCTCGCAGAATGGGCTGAATGGCATGTTGTAGATGTATCCCCATGCAGAGATCCATTCACCGGCTATATGTCAACACAAGAAAAACAAAAAAATACACTTCGGTTCACCCCGGCAAAACATTGAGACATTTCAAACTGATCAGATGCTCAGTCCATGGACAATCCAGCTGTGCACCGGCGTTCCACTGGATGTCCCGCACGTGTTGACATCGAAATTCAAGGGTCTAGTTCAGGGGTATATATCGGCGTGGGTAAACATCCACTAAGACAAGGATGCGACGAATGTACGACAAACAAAGGATGCACAGGTGAAACCATGCACATGGTGAGAATTTGATGTGAGACTGCATGCATCAATGGCATGACCGAAGAACAGACGGTCGGACGGTCTACAGTCTACAGTAGCTCGGCCGAAAGGGGTCAGTGCAAGGTACCATAAATACCTATTGGGGGGTATCCCTTAAGTCCATCCTATTGCCAGTAAACAGTGGATGATGATGGTTCAGCTGCAGGCCTTGTTCCAAAATTATGTTGTTCTTCTACAAACTGACAGACTTAGTAGGTCAGTTCCAACAGACTTGGCAGGGCATCCCCTTTATCACCCAACCAGTTCGGCGGTAAACCATCCAGTTCGAAAGCTCCGACCACCCAGTCAGGATCAGCCTCCTTAGCATCCGCTGCAGCTTGATCGTTCGCCTGGACGGCCATGGCGCGGGGTGCCAGGGAACGAACAATGGCATATCTACATCAGCCAATATTGATACATGCTAATGGCTAATGAATTTGTCTTTCATCAGCTTACACATTCATCATTCATTCCTTTTTTTTCATAAATACATGTATGCCGGCTTGGATCTGGACCGGGCTTGGAAGTTTCGGACCCCTGCTATGCAGGGTCCGACCCCTGTCATGGAGGGATCAAGGATTCTTAAAGTCTTATAAGGTGTACACAGTATGTATATATATATATATGTTATAGTTCTGTATCTCCTCTGGAGGCTTTTGTGGACTTGTGGTGACCTGTTGGAGGGTCCTGGTAATTGTATATATCCAAATACAGTGTCCATATAGAAACATACAAACATGTATTATATAAGTGTGGAACCCAAACAAGTGGCCTCCTCGAACCCACAGAGTCTCTGGCACCGTCCCTCTTTGCCCTTGTTGGTGCCAAGCTGCCGCAGCAATGGGGTCCGTCACCTATCAGCGGGGTGGGCGAACAAGAGTGGTCAACCAGCAGTTTCAATATATATATATATATACATATATATATATACCCTGGAAGTCCAAAGACTATATTTTGACCGGCTGAAGTAAAGGAAGTTCCCTTTCAGGTCCCCTAGTCAGACCATACTTTTTATAGTCTTTGACTCCCAGGGTATATATATATATACTGTATATTCGTTCGGTGCCGGCGCCGAACGGAGTTGACCGCCATGAACGAATGATCCACTGCACCGGCCATCGAAGTCGACACCCTGAAGCCGAAACCGCGCCACGAGCGAGTCCACCCTGCCCGACCTGGAGATCCAATCGACGCCCAGGGACCCTCCGGGACCCTCCGGACCCGATGCAAACTAGCGAGGGATCTGCCTAAATCGATTTGGAGAAGAGCCCCCGGCAGTTCTGAGGGGACGTCACAAGTCGAACATCCCCTTCCGATCCTGGATCGGTGCTGTTCGCCGCTCACCTTTGTTGCGTCGTAGCTCATGTGGGCATGGGGAAAAGGTCCAGTTCCACCGACATGTACGAAAGGGTGGTTGAGAGACCCTCAGAAAACCCTTGAGCTTACCATCTGGTCCAACCATCCTTTCCGTGGTGTCCATGTGTCATGTCTCCAAACCAATCTGCCAGCGTCAACCGATTCCGAAACCCACCAGTCCACAGCATTGGCCGCCCGAGCTCCGAAAAAATAACGACCCGCGACCCTCTGAGGGACCATTTTGAGTTTTTTGATCAGTTGGACACCATGTGGCTTAGCCAAAATACGTATCATAAGTGGTAATGGAAAAATCATGAAAAATCACTGAAGAACGTTGGCTTTGGTTTCTGGAGCATCGGTTGCTTCAAGCTTTGGATCCGGAGGTCAATCAATGAACCACTTGAAGCTTCGTGATTTAGATGCGTGTCCTCAAAGGTCGAAAGCTGCGGCCCTCCACAAGACCGCAGGCAGTCGCAGCTTCCGCCTGCTTTGCAGCTGCTTCTGCCTTCGCCTTGGCCTCGAACCCAGTTCGGACGAATCAGCAGAATCAGCGCCGACGCGTTTCGCCTGAAAGATTCGTCAAGCCTCCTCGATGCCGGCTGTGACCTTGTCCTCTGCCTGGATGGTCGAGGCTGTGACCGTGTCCCACACGAAGGGGACCCACGAAAGACCTCTAGAGTCAGCAACTGGCAACAAACTCAGAAACATCATGACTAGCACTGGTCCTTGGCCATGACGTCCGACCTAGAAACAAATCAAGAAAAGGGCCACTGGCCAGGTGGACGAGTAGAGGGGGGGGAGCCCTCGATCAACCAAACGAGGCCGTGGGTCAGGGCCACCGACGGTCCATTGCCTTCTTCACATCTGCTGCGGAGAAATGCTGCATTCCAGAAAAAATCACGGGGTGTATGTTCTTGGTCAGTAAAATCCCTTTTCTATTTGATAATTAGGCCAAGGAGGCCGAGCCTTTTTCCCAAAAAAGAAACGCACATATCATACACCGTCAGGAAGGACCCCTGCTTGTTCTGGTCTTTTTCGGGTTTCTGAAGCTCGTTTAGTACGATGTTTATAAAGGGACCAGGATGTTGTGTGCTTATTCTTTCTCTAGAGACACCCTTTCTGTCACACCCTTCACATGCGATGAATTCGGGATCATCTAATTCTACACTTTTACATTTATATAGCACGATTATTTACTATTCGCAGTACAATGATGGCACTGGTCATTGATCAACTCTATGTTATAGGTTTGTCAAAACGATTTGTGAGCCCTTCACAATCATTGGAGTCCCAAAGCTCCCTAACTCCCTCACAGGTCCAGCAGCGTATTGTCAGAGGGACCCAAAATCATGCGACCATCCATGAGGTCATATAGGAGATTCTTGTCAACTGATAGTGCAACATTGGGTGGACACATTGTGTCGGTGGACTATTGTCAAAGGGACACATTGGGTGGGCACATTGTCAAATGTAAACGCCATGTGAATGCCCAAAGATTTCCGCAAACCAACTGCGGCAAAGGCTGCGGCAAAGGCCTTCTCCACCTCTGCTGTAGCGCTGCTCGTAGCCTCGTCACGAGAGGATGGCATAGCTGACCATCAATTGGTCTATCTTCATGGTCACCCTAAATTCTCGATGACCATCAACACGTGCTACGGGTTTTCCTTTGTTCCTGTGTTTCCTGGCCCGGTCTTCAGGGTCTTCCCATCCTGGTCGGTTCCGAAATTCGACACGGCAGGGGTGTTGGCACTCTCGTTCTCGGACCTGGTCGGGAGTGAAGTTCTTTCATCAATGGGGGGGGCATGTTGCTAGTGGCAGGTCGTCAAACACGCTTGGGCACTTGGCCGCAGGTGGGTCGCAGTGTAGAAGAGTTAACTGATCGTTTCTAGTGCTTCTGGTGCCTGTGAGCATGTTTGATCACCATAAATTGTGGAGATGTTCAAGGCCTTTCTATATGTAAGTCGGCTGGTCACCTCACGAATCATTCCCATCAGCTTCACAACCTCTCAGGAACGACACCATTTTGGCACCAAACTGCAGTTCACCAACGATCTATCTAGACGGCCCGGTCAGCGTCGTCCATGTGGGTGTCAAACAACCATGGAAGACCTGTGGACATCTGTCTGCCTCAAGTAAACTGGATGAATGCTTTTGGTCTATCGTTTCACTTGAAGTTGGATTTCTTTGGAAGAATTGAAGAGGAGGTGCGAACCAAAACCTGCGGTTTCCGAACGAAGCTGGGATGAACCAGTGAAGGAACGAAACTCGACATGAGGCTGGCTTCCTCATGTAGAGATAGGTCCATGAGGCGATATGAATGGGTATGCTGGGTGTGATATGGAACGTTTCTTCCTGCAATCCAAAAGCAGCTTCTGTCACTTCTGACTATGTCCACCCAAAACGGTTCGGCTGAGCTTTGCCCAGTCCATGCCTATATCCTTCGGTGCGCCTACTCCGGTTCTACGGTTCGGGAACATGATCTTCGGAGAGGGTTTGATGAGCTGTGTTGATAGTGAGAAGGGATGTCTTGCTTCTTGCTCTGCCAATTGGTACTTCAACAGAAATCCCCTTCTGTCATGAGCTGGATCTCTAGAAATAGTGAATCTTGAGAATTTGGGATCCTAAACACAACGTTTTGCATTCAGCAATACGAACTACATGATCCTTCCTGCAATCTGTGGCTTCAGAGCCGTTCATAATCACTGGAGTCTCAAAGCTAAAGCTCCCTCACAGGTCCAGCAGCACATTGTCAGAGGGACACATTGATGCAACCATCCCTGAGGTATATGGGAGATTCTTGTCAAATGTAAATGCCATGTGAATGCCCAAAGATTTGCGCACACCGGCTGCTGAGAAGGTTCCTCCCGCCTTCTCCGCATCTGCTGCTGTCTTCTCTGCAGCTGCTCCTGCCTTTGCCTTCACCTCGTCATTTTGAGAGGTTTCACGGATCTTCTTTCTGTCGTTTGCATGGCTTTATCTCATGGTGGGAAGATGGGTTTTGCAATTTGGTGCAGGAAGTCTCCTTGTCGGCCCCTTTCGTTGCCACGGGAGGGTTGCCCCAAATTCGGGTCACGGCTTCTCTTCCCAGAAGCGGAAAGAAAAGTTACTTCAGTCTCCGAGACTTGTGACTATAGCAGGATGCTGGAAGTTCAGCACCTCAGGAGACTGCCTAGAAGGGAAAGCTGCCACCACATATCTCCCACGTCCAAGGAGGTGAGTTGCTCTGCTCCAAGCAGAAACCATTTGGACCAGAAACTGCCGGCACCTCCCAAATCCATGGTGTGAAATGAATCAAACGAACCCGTCTGACGAATGGCTGACAACATCTCCAGGCCTGCGCAAGTGGCCAATTCCTCCACCATCTGTCGTTTGAAAATCCCATTGGGGTACTCATAAAAGCAACACCCTACGGCCGTTGTTCTTTCTTTGTGTGTCTATTTTTCTTTATATGGAATACACCCATTCCCCTTTCAAGAGTCTACATGTAAAACCTCCACTTCCCCAGGCTCATGAGTTACAACCAGAGCGATAAGACCGATGTGAGATGATGGGCAGATCGGACGATGGGCAGATCCATTGGGTGATTGATATGGGTTGATATGGGCTCCCAGAACATCATGAACCGGCATCATACCAAAATATACAAATATATTGGGTCTATCCTACTATCAGGTTTCAGTGGATGATGATGGTTCAGTTGCAGGCCTTGTTCAAAAATCGTGATTTGCTTGTTTACTGACTGTTACAGGTAATAGGACAGAGCTAACAAATATACCTGGACCATCCTCTCTGGGTACTGTATCCTGGCTGGACTACCCTGCACTACTATCCGCGATCTCCGGCCAGGACAGCCAGACAGGATACTCCAAATATATATATATATATATCTGTGTATATATATGCATATATATACATATAGTTATAGTTATATAGTTGCTGCTTGGGGAACATTCAGCCAACGAACCGACAACGTTACAGTCCCGAACATAAACCAGAATCAGCAGTGCAAAGCGAAGAAGCAAAGCAAAGACACACTCAATGAAATCAAACAAATACTCAATGAAATCAAACACATTCAATTAATTTCAGTAATGTCCAGAATATCTCTAACACCAAACAAGATGAAGCACAAATCCAAAAACCAAAAAAAAAACAAAAAGACCCCTCTCCGCTCTTTCTACGTGACATGTCCAAACCCGCAAAATGAGGAAAACAAGTAGATTTAGAAAAAACAAAAAAAAGAAACCGTCCCATCCACTCCAAACATGTGGAGAACACCCGCCTGCTCCAGTGCCTTTCCCAGGTCCTTGGAGTGGCTCGAGGGCGGTCTTGTCTTTGACCCCAAGATAGCTCCCAGGCACAGCACAGATTGAAAGGCCGAATCTCTAAGCCAAATCCGTGGTGCGATGGATTTTGGGACAACCATTATAACGGACCAAGCTCTCTTGTTTACACTCCTTGAGATGATCATGGTGACATAGACGGCATCTCTCCCCCATCACACCCAGATAACCCGTTTCTTTCTTCCGAAGACCAAGAGTGGAGTGGAGTTCCTCGGAGTGGAGGTGTCTGGGATCATCCGTTCCGGGATGATCCCACCAGGAGTCTCTTGGAATCTCATCATTAAAATATATGTCTCTTATGTTATTCCTCCTTATTTCAGCCCACGAAAATAAATATAATTATATAACTTGTTCTTATCTTCATTTATTTTCGTCCAGTCCCACCCAAATGGAGTCTCTGTTTGTCATCTCATTTTGGGGATCTCAACTTCGAAGCTCCTGGAATACACTACCCTAGATGACGACCAACGGAGATGGACGGTGGACCGACGGACCCTCTTTCAGGTCGGGGACGTCCCCCGGCGCTTCGCAGCTCGCGGCGCTTCGCACGTCGAAAACCCTGAGGTCTGGGCTGGCAGCTTTGGCAGAGTTGGGGCTGCGGGTGTCTCTGGCACTTCCTGCGCAGGAAGTGCGCAACCAAGGGTTGAAACTTTTCACTCCGGCACAGACCCCTCCGGCTTATGAGATGACACCACATGTGATCGCATGTGGCTCCAGAAAGAAGAATTCATCCGATCACCATCTAGAAGCCCATGCGTTGACCTCGGCATATTTCTCAAGTTCGGAGCAAAACATCGTCGGTGAGCCAGATTCGGTTAGCCCTAGCCTAGCCCTCAAAGACGAAGGTCAGAAAATGGTTGAGCTGGTTTCGTAGTGTAAAAATGTTTAGTAAAACAATGGATGTTCGGTAAAGGCTATTAAATCAATGGTTCACATCCTAGGGGTCAAGTAGCCTGACCCCGGAATCCCCGGGTCATGTTCACTTCTACAGTATACTGGCCCTCCAGCACTGGAGGGATGGTTTGCTTCGGGTCCCTTGAGCCCAAAACAAACAGCAGAATATGCCTAGACGTTCCGTTCCGGGTCCTCCCTCGCCTACCCTGCACGACTTATCCATTGGACACTCAGAAGGGATGTGTATTTATCGATGAAAGAGAGATGCATTAATATAGAATATATAGTTATATATATATATATATATTCTTTTCGTGTGTGTGTGTGCGTGTGTTGTGTATAGTTACTGTATGATGCTCTCTGCCTGACACCTATTTCACACCTCCCCAGGTCTCTCTCTCATCCTCCACGTCCTCAGTGGACGTCTCCTCGGTGGACTCGGCCTCAGCAGCCTCGCTGGACTCGTACGACGCGTGAGGACGGAGCCCACGGGTCGCTCTCAAAAGGCTGACCGGGATCTGACCGGGATCTGAGTTCGCATCACTTGGAAGAACCAGATCACCTGCAGGAACCAGCTTCCACCTGGTCCTGTTGAGTGCATCCCCAATCCTCAAAAGAGGTGACGCTCTTTCCAAAGACCCACATGGAACCGCCCGGTTTGGTCTTCTTTCACCATCTCACCATCGCCTTAGAGTCTCCCAAGCCCGGTTCACCCGTCTGCACACGAGTCACACGAGTCACACGAGTCAACACACCACCCCGCTGGGCTGAACATCGGGTCGTGCTTCGGCACCTTCGGGGCACGGAACCTTGGGGTCTCCTGGGGGCTACTTGGGGTATATATCCTGTCTGGAGACCTTGTCCGGGTGTAGCTGTAGCCTTGTCCGGGTGACCCGTGGTTCAGCCGGTTTTGGGTCACGGTCCGACTCGGTGCTTCTCCCGATGTCTTCGGGATGTGTCAGGACATTCACCTTAGTCGGGTCCAAAGATCCTCTTCCTGGACCTATCTGGGATCTTCAGATCGTGCAACCAACCGTCATGTTTAGGGACTCTGCCTAGGTTGCGACCTGGTGCCCAGGGCGAGCCCGCGAGGCGGGCGAGACCGAGACCGTCCTCACCGAACCGAACCGAACCGGTCCGAGCCAAACCGGCCCCCAAAACGGCCGGGAGTTGGGCCCGATTTCGGGCCGAGCACGGGATGAGCACGGGCGACGGGTTTAGACCGAACAGTCGCCAGCGTGGACGGGAAGCAGCTTAGAGTGGTATAGAGCTCTGGCTGTGTCTTTCGGGAATGGTTCAGGAGAACTTCTCCAAGTTCTAGAGACCCCCAACCAAAGAAAACCCGCCCGGAGCGTCACATGTCGCGAGTGTGTCCTGAGTCCTGGCCTGTTGCCATGGTTTCTTCATGTTTCTTCCAACAGTATCAGGAGGGTGGCCCTTCAGGTGTTGTTTTATCCCAATGAGTTGGTTCGAGGGAATATCCACCTTCCTCTAGCCCGCTGGGTCGACCTAGTTGACCAAACCCAAACCGTTCCATACCAGGGAGTTCCAAGAGACTGCTGGACTTGACCTTTCTCAGTCGGATCGGACTGATCTTTGCTCAGTTTCCTCAAGGGTTGAACCCCTTCATCTTCAAGAAGTGGCATCCTTCCGAAGAGGGACGAAAGGGATATACAGGGACCTACACACCATCGAGCAAAAACCCTTGCGTTGCTCTGATGCCTCCAAACAGGCAACGTGCCGGCCCCGCGTGCCTTCTGGTGCTTATGATGTCCTCCCTGAACACACGGGGCGCTGCAAGTTGGTGTCTTGGTGTCTGACTTGGAGTGATCTGGCTAAGGCTCAAAGATAGGGTGCCATATGGTGCCATCCCATGCCCCGTTCCCCCGGTATATTGAAAACATGGACTCCACCGGCGCATTCATGCATCTTTCTTTGCGCCACAGCCATCTGGTGAAGACCAGACTATCTCTCACACCTGTCCCTAGACTCACCAAAACAAAAAGCCAAGTGCAGACCTACGACTCTCTATGGCCTCTATGGGTCCAAGTTCTGTGGGTCCAAATCCCGCCAAATCTCCCGGTCCTCTTTCGCTCAGTCGACCGGTACCTGGTCATTACCGTCTCCCGGTCGTACCGTTCACCTTCGGGTCACCGTCTTCGGTCCACGCTCGTCGTAGCGACGCCCGACCGGTGAAGCGGGGTCGAGTTGGGGTCGAAGCGGGTCGAGCAGTGAGGCATGGTGAGGCTACAACGGAATGATCCAGATCCAATACGACACCTCTCCCGACCGAGGTTCTCGAAGCCTCCCACCGACTCTATTGCTCGGGCCCTTCCCAGATTCGCCCCAAAAACCACTCGTCCCACATTCACACTCCAGAATTTCACCTCCTTCACTCAACACCAGCATGACCTGCCAGGTTTCCCCTCCCAGATACTCCATCCCTCCACCACCCCCACGAACCGCCTGTCGACTGGGTCGCTCCGACCGCGGGTCGACCTCGCCTTCTTGCCCTTCTGGGCCTCCTCACCAAGCTGCTCCAAGATGCTACCAATGCCATCCAACAGGCCCAAGCCGCCCTGACACCAGCGACAGAAAGCAGCTCGCGTGTGAACTCCACGTCGGAGTCGTGGCGAGAGCCGCCCCGAGCCAAAACGGGACTTGGGTTGGAATCTATGGCGTATATGAGCTTAGGCCCCCAACATTGGGGCGCCCACGGGTCTCCTGAAACATCTGGAAACCGAGCGAACCAGATCAGACCGCCCGAATCGCATGGCGGACCAGCCTTGTCTTGCTTCTTTCCCTCAGCTCCCTCAGCTTCAGCTGGTGCAGAGGAGGCTTTGGACCCGGCTTTGCCATTCTTGGCCTGGGCGGCAGCACATGATGGATCATGATGCATGATTTCAAACTGGACCTGGACCCGCAAGGGGTGGTTAATTGACACCCCAAAAGACCTCTTTTCGGGGCTATAGACATGGACACCCGGAATCCGTGGTGCTGGGATAGGTCAACGTTAGATCCACAAGAGTTCCACCTGCGTGTTCTGCCAACCCCCCGTGGTTCTCTCCTGACTCCCTCAGTTTCCGATCACAAAGACTTCACCGAAGGAACTCCACTTGTTCCGATTGACTGGGAAACTCCCCAGTCCCCCAACAAAAAGCTTAGGCAGTTGGAGTCCGCTCTTCCTCGCCTCACTCGCCTAGGCCTCACTAACGTCCGGCAAACAAAACACTTCCGCTCGAAACCCACTCGGCCGATCCCGGTGGAGCGAGCGCCCGCCTCGTCGTCCTTGTCGCCGCCAAAGATCTCGCCCAGGATTCCGCCCACGGCCTGGGACCGCTGGAGGCTGGGAAAGAGGCGGCAAAAGGCGAGGAAGGCGAGGGGACGAACTCCGGACGAAGCGTCCGGTGGATCAACCGCGGGAGAGACAGGAGGTGGCCGGAGAAAATGTTCAAAGTTCAAGTACTTTAGCAAGAGATCAACAGCCTGCCATGAAGCTTTTGTGATTCATGCAGGAGATCCGGCCTGCTTACCCGACCAAGAACGGCCACCCGGCATGGGTGCGAGCCTGAATTTAGAACCCTCGGGCATGAGAGACGCAGATTCACAGTGCGACAACTTCAGGGGTCGAGGAAGTGTCGAGGCAAGGAATATATACTGTGGGATTCATCGTTCGAGGTCACAATTGTAGACTATACTTGACTACTTGTAGATCTCCTTTGGACACTCCCCACCTCACTCCGGATGCACTCCCAAACTCGCCACCTCCGCACTCCCTGCCTCGCCCAGGTCGTCGCCATCGTCCTTGCCACCCTTCTTGCCACCCTTCTTGCCATCGTCGCCCTCGAGTGGGGACAGATCGGCGACCGGTCGGAAGGCTGGCGCGGTGGTAGTGGGAGGAAACGGGAGCTTGAAAGCGGAAGAACGGAGACGCACAGCAGACATGCATGGACACCTCCGAGTTCGGCCGAAACAGGCTCTGCAGTTCCATGGTTTGTTGCAAGCAATCGCACTTCTTCTGTCACCTTGCTCAATTGTGTGCATGTTTCATAACGCACAAACATGGAACCCTGTAAGACCTATAGGATGTAGATAAGGTAACTGGCAAACGTGTCAAATACAAAGTTAATCAAAAATGCAAAAAAAGGAATGAAAAACGAAGAGAATGATCCACTGTGAAAACCGAAACTCACACGTCTTGCCGAGTCAACCTCTTTCACGGAGAGGCGTTCGGGTGTGAAAGAACAGGATCGACAGAACAGTTCAGGGTTGATCGCCATTTGACCGAATGGATCGGGAAACCTCTTTTGCAAGTCAAACAAGGGCGTCATCACAAAAATATGATTGATACGTGACTATATAGGGAATGACACTGAGTGACTGAGCTTTTTTCCTCGTTTTTCCTTTCAAGCTTTCAGAGACCTTTGCAGGCTGTGCCAAAGCCCTGAAACGCTGTTTGCACACTGAACCTTCAGTGCCCACGCGCGCATATCGCGCGCGCATCGCCTGGTCGTCGCCCCCGAAGACCGCACCCAGCACGTTGCCAATGGCCTGGCCGTGGATAGACCGGTGAGACTGGTGAGAGACCTCTGGTGTGCGACCACTGGAACTGAGGAATCCGGGAACCCCTCACCCTAGCTACTCCGCTCACTGGATGGGACGAGCCACACCACCCCTTCCAGTAGAATCCAGCCACCTTCCTTTACAAGTCGCAGTCAGTCGAAGGTGCGAGTGTTCCACACATCGAATGAGTGGGTCATGTTTGAACCCGGACACCCTGCTTGACTCGGTCAGATGAACAGAATAGACGAACGGAAGTCAAGCTACCATGCTTTGGGGCTCGGGTTTTGACCCACATTTGAGCTCTGCAAAATACGTGTGATTCAACCCCTATGTCGTATAACTGTCTTAGTGCAAGGCCTTTACTTAGTGCATCTTGGGAGGTTTCTTGCGGTGTTCATTTGGAAGCTGGAGAAGTCCTTCGAGCTTTGCACCGGAACCAGACTAGAGTTCCTCGGTGGTGCCGGGAATCTGGTCAACTGGTCACAGACCAACGAAGAGCTTGCCCCAAGTCCAAAGACTATATCTTGACCGGCTGAAGTAAAGGAAGTTCCCGAACTCAGGTCCCCGATATCGTCAGACCATTCTGTTTAATAGTCTTTGACTTCCAGGATTTACATTACTGTGCCACTGATATGAAAGTTGCCGAACTCACGAACTCAACGAAACTCCCTGTTTGCTCTTTGGAAAGTGGTTGTCCCACTTCCCACGGTGCCTCGCCAACATCATCTCCATCGTCGTCCTTGCCCTTGCCACCCTTAGCTGCCTTGCCCTGGCGGACGACACGACGCCAAACACACGCACCGTTGGGAACGGAGTCGCTTGCCGACGAGTTTGGAGCAGCATCGGAGGGCAGCCGGTGTTGCAGGCGAATTTCGTGGTGACGCCCTCTTCCAGGAGCTCCAACAGACCGGGGCGTCTACCAACAGCCCCTTGGAGGTTAAGGCATGTCCATTCACCCCCCTGTGTGGGGTCCCGTCGCTGCCTCCGTTGGAAACCCCCCGACCAATGGCCCAGCTCGAGCTGGGCGACCCGTGCTTCGCCCGCCAGTTGGGCGTGAAGCGAAGGAAAAACACACGCACTTATTCTTGTTTTAGGAAAGCGTCCCATCCCCAAGAAAGCTTCAAAGTCCTAGGAGTCCTACCAGCACCTTCCAACAGGCGGTTTGTGGACACCCCTGAAGCTCTAAGAAGGTGATCCGCTGTTTTTCTTGGTTAGCCTTGCCCTTGTCGTCGTCGCCGCCGAAGATGGAGCCCAAGATGCCGCCAATCGCCTGACACAGACGGGCGGCTTCGTCAGGAGTGACTTTCTGGTGGTTGAAACTGAAGCCCCCGAAAACACACCCCTCTGCCAGAACAGACCAAAACACACCAAGAATGACCCAGCTGGACCTTCCCATCTGGGTCTTCTCAATGAGTGCAGTTCCCAAGTCCTCTGGAGTCATCTGTCCACTAACTCCGCAGAACCCCGGCTCCCGGGTGCGTCCGCGCTTCGGGCCGCCGGAAGGCACGGATGGCATGGGCCCGGAAAGGAGGAACGAAATCCGAAGACCAAACAGGGGGTCTTTTATTTCCATGTGAGTTCAAGAAAAGTAAGTCACCTTCTCAGAATACCCCCGCCCCCCTTCCGCCCCTTCTCATTCCGCCTCGCCAATCTCATCACCTTCGTCCTTCTTAGATTTCTTAGGTGTCTTGTCCTTCTCAGGCTTCTCCTTCTTTTGGCCCGGCACGTGGTAGTCCATGAGCTCTTTGTACTGGCACGTTCTGGAAGCGTTCGAATCAAAAGTTCAGCAGCTCTCAACATCTGGTCAATCACTTGAAATCAGGTCTCGTCGCGATTCTTTCCACCCGAAAGAAGAGACCTGTTTGATCCTGCTTGTCTGATTATTATAGATTATCAAATGACCAACAAAGTCTTATATGTTGATTGGAGATAGACTGAACTTGCCACTATGCCGCGTTCACAACCAGACATCGTTGGCAGATCTCGAGATGACACGACCACATGGGAATGGATTGGAATTGTACTTGACACACATCTCAGGCATCACTGAACTGACAAGATCAGGGCCCCCATGGCCCACCCACCCAGAAACTCTCCAGTCAAAGGGGGCCAGCGCCACGGCAGTAGCCATCTCTGCGTTGTACGAGTCCGTCTGGTATTCTCAGACGGAGGCGACGCCGGGTGGCTCGGGAAGGACGGGTGGCTCGGCAGTGGCCAAGCAGACCGTCTGCAGAACTCTTTGGAAAGTAAGTAAGCAAGCAAGCAAGGAAGTAAGCAATCAAGTCGGTCAGTCAGCAAGCAGAATGTGAGCTAAGCTTGATGCACCACGGGGATTTCCTAGCAAAATAGGCCAACAGTCAGGGTGGGTCTGGTGTATGTCTCATACGCGTGCCGTCTGCATCGAACAAGCGATCTTCCTTTCCACTGCTCAAACGGCGAAGCCTTCTTGGCGTGTCTTAGATGCAAAGCAGGCTAGCAAGGCTGCCTCCCAAAGCATGGCACAAGAAATCCTCCCCCCAGAGTGGCCATCTGTCAACTCGACATCGTGCAAAATCATTTCCGATCGTCCCGCGTAGGAAAAACACGTCTGAAATCCTCCACAGCAGCACGAAACCCTCCCCCTGTGTGTTCTCAGGCCAGCAACCCCAACCTCAATGCTACGGAAGAGTGAGGAGAAAGTTCCTCATCAAAACCTGCTTTGGTCCTTCTCAAAGACGCCACTCTTCAGGTGATTTTTTTTTACTTTGCGATCTAGAAGTTCCGTCCTTCGAGATGAAAGCCAAAAGATCTTCCCAATATGATTCCTCACCTCAAAATGTTCAACCAATTGGTGCATACCAGGAGTCACAAAGGGGTGGTGTTTAGTCTCCAAGTGAGTGGATAATGGGCACTCCTAACCTCCATTAAGCACCCCTTTGTGACTGCTGGTATCTTAAATGTTGAATCAAAAAGACAAGTCTTCCTGCCATGCCACTGCCCACCTAACGCCTGGACTTCTTCGCCTCCACTTCCGTCCCAATTTTTGTTCAAAGAAAGCACGGTCCGTGCCACGTGGCCACGTCCGGATCCGACGTGGCAGAAACCCACACCGTCGACCCAGACTGACCGAGCGTTAAAGCGCTGTCAAGGAGCTGGAGATGTTCATGTAGCTCTGCTCTTTGTTCCAGAACTTGTTCTTGAAAATCTCAGGGAAAACACGATGACCGCATGAGTTCCAGTCTGAGATCCAGTCATCTGGGATGGTGATCAAAATGGAAAAGGATTGAACACATCAGACCAAAGCAGCTGGTCATTAGCACCATCCTGCTGATGGAGAAACCGAGGGTCCTTTCACCCTAGAGCCTGAGTGACCTCTATTTTGGACCACCAAGCACCAAAAATAGTCCTATCAAAACAGAGGTCATGTCTAGGCTCTAGGTCTAGATCCTCCAAAAAAACGAAGCTCAATGGCCGCCTGGGCCACGACCTTGTCAAGTCTGTTTGTTAACTCGTCCTTTGGACGGGGAAGTGGTCTGATCTGAGAGATGTTGCACAACTGGAATTATGGGTGCCCAACATATGAGTGTCAATCGCTCTTGGTCTCAAATAAAATATCCGAAAAGGGCAACAGTGAGCCATGCTCCTCTTCCATGTTCGGTCTCGAAAAAAAGGGGTAACGCACATCGATGGTGCGTTCGTTTGCATCAATACTCAAACAGCGATGGTGCGTTCGTAAGACTACTACCCGTAAGTGCTGCACACGAGCAGCACGCACGGATTCAGACGGCACCGTGACCATCATCTCCCAGCATGAAACACCCTGACCATCTTGGAAAAGAACCACCCCAGAAATGGAAGGCGTTGGTATCCCCATGGCATGGTATCCCACCACCTGCTTCCCAGACACATAGAGAACACCTGACGAATCGATGCGTGAGAAACTCACCACTCACGTGCTCTGTTCGGGGCAGGCGGCTTTGGGACCTGATCGAGTCCCACAACGCGGGCTTTGGGACCCAACCTCTTCACAGGGATCCGGAATCCGAACCAAACCCTTTTGATTGCTTCTGGCCCGGATTATATGGGTATGAGAAGGAGACCCAGGCAACGACCCCCCTGGAATGTTCGGAAAACAGACCAAAACCCAAAACCCATATAGAAGAACCTGTGGTCACTTGGAAGCAGCGATCGAACGGAGGATCCAGGAATATCGATGACCCACAAGATTGGAGATGCTTGTTTTTCTCAGGCTTGTCCCTAGTCTCCGAAGACCACAAAGAAAAAGGTTGATCTGGCATGTTGTATTCTAAAATCCAAAGATGTTTGGATAAAATCCATATCGATCATTAAACCAACGATGGGATACGACTCCTCGTTTTGCGCTCGATGTTCAATGGTCAGGGCCGTTCGATGGTCAGGTGCCGAAAGCTAGGTATAGTTTCCCCGGCCTAAGGCATCCATGTGCTTCAAAGGGAATTCGTGTTTTGCCGAAAACTCGAAGACTCAGAAAGAAACTCAAAGAACCCTGGATTCCAAGGTAGAATGTACCTCGAACCCAAACATGACCTTTGTTTTTGACCATAAGTTTGGCCACAAAATGTAGGTTTTGGTCCAAAATTGAGGGCACTCAGGATACGCAGGCTCTAGGTCGGCATCTCTCAACTCTCTGGCTGCCATCTTTTGGCAGCGGATGGCCCCGATTTCGGATGACCCTCAAACCCAAAGACCAAGCAATGCCGTGATCAGCTTCCATGATTTTTTCCCCTTTAGCCGCTAGCAAGCTTGACGCCCCTTGGGGCACCCTATTAGTAGAGGGCCTGGCAGAGCTATTGCCGCCACCACCGTCACCCATGAATAGCTCCCGACCTGTGGAGGAGGTATTCTTGCACTGGCTCAGCATCTCCAAGGGCTGCAGCTGCGTCATGCCCTTCACATCCATGACCCTTAGAGCACATGAGTGGCTTGTGGCCATTGTTGGCTTAATGTAGGCTTTCTAGGCGTTCTAAGGGCTTAACAACAAAGAGTCCGAAGAACCTCCCGCTTCATGGGTGAACACCCAAGCCGAACTCCTGTCATGTACGTTCCAGACATGAATGTTGCGAGTTTCCACACGGGAAAGTCCACTCAGGCGCACCGTGCGTGTGGTGAAGCAAACATCCTAATCAATCCGTCCGAGGACACGCGGCAACCGTGCAATGAACGATGTTGCCTTCTTTTGTTGTTGAGCGCCCTTTCGGCTTTACGTCCTTCAGAGTAAACGACACTCCTTGAAATAGTCACAGAAGTGGAAAACCACCTGTTCGGCCTGGTTGGTATTCGGATTTGGTCCTCCTTGCGGGGTGCCATCCACGTTGGCCCATGACTCTTGTAGCATGTTCAACTGCTGCAAGTGGCTTTTGCACCCCCAGTGCCCAGTACTTGCAAACGTGAACTCCAATAGGTGTTTCCGCTTGACAGGTGCACCCTTCTAGAGCCTGTGTGACCGATAAATTGAGGACCACCAAGCACTCAAAATATGGCCAAACATCCGATCAAAAACAGAGGTCAATGCCCAAATCCCCATCTCTTCCAATTTGCACACCCCTCGACCCAAGGCCTTGTTGGGATCCGGATTCCAACAGGCCCCGTCGTGACACGCGTGGACACCATGTCGCCGTGGTTCATCGGTCGAAAAGAGGTCGCTCTCCCAGTTGGGTCGCCCATGGGAAGCAACATCCGTCTCAAAGTCGAATGGTTTCGAATGCTGAGACTGATGTTTCGCGCACAGATTCTGGATGCAGTGCTGCTTTTTCGTATGAAGGTAGACGTTTGTTTCGACTCAACCTCTGAGTTCAGAAGGTAGAAGAATGAACACTTCGTCACCACCCACATCTATCCAAATCTTGGAAAGATTTGGACCAAAAGGATGATCTGGTCTGCAATTCCTTTTGGCGCAATCGAAGTGGGTGCAGCTGCCAGGGAGGCACCAACTTCGAAACCTTTACTGTATATATGTTAGTAGAGGACATCCCGGCCATAGTGACTGTGAGTCTGTGGAAGGAATCCCAATCTGTATATCATCCCTGACTGCTAAGGCACAGGTTGGGTATCTGCAAGTGGCATGCCAAAAAAAGGGAACTCAGCACAATCAGCGCCGAATCGTACCATCTGCACCCCTCTCCGTTCAGAAAGCCTCTACAATTCACCGGCGACCCAAGTTGTTTCAAGCAGATTTGCAGGTATGCACCCTTCACATCCCATTCACATCGTTGCATCTCCAACTCGCAAATCCACCGGAAGTGCTGGTTTTGTGGAAAATCCTTCGGGCTATAAAATCCACGGTGGGCCAGGAAGCCTCTAGGGTCGATCAACGATCCATCCCCCCCCGTCTCGCCCTTTGGGGACGTCCGAGCTGCTTCTTGGTGCCCAGTTGAATCTTCGTGCCGAAGAGGTCCATATAGTTGGGCTGCGAAACCGGGCTGCGGTCGTGCGGAACGACGACTCGTTGGTCAGGATTAGAAGACGCGTGGAGACCGGGTGGCAGCGTGCGCCAACCCGACCAAACGGAATTCTGGGTTTCTAGGGCGAGGGTTGCACGGTCACGAAAGACCCAAAGACCCTTCCAAAAGGGGGCAGCTTCAAAACGCCAAGCCCTGTTTGGGGGGGACCCGGTGCATGATGATGCATTGGTTTCAAACCCGGGATGAAGCGTGGTGTCCATGGAGTTCAGGGAATCACCCTTTTTCAGCTCCAAACCAAAAGCGCGAATCGGCGCGAAGCCTTGCCCTTTGCTCCGGCTAGACACACCTCTTGAGACACCCTGCCAGATGGTGTAGCTCGGTCCCCAGTCCAGCTTTCTTCCCCCAAAGCCACGCCCCCGGAAACATCTGAGGGCGGGGTCGGGTCCCGGACCACTTCCTTGTTGAAGGCGCTCAGGTTCGCTTCGTTCACGGTGTTCATTCCCTAAGAGGATCAGAGGATGAAAGGACACCTTTTTTGTGGGGGACTCCCTAGGGAGGGACGAAGAACATGCGCTTGTGATGCCATTTGCATTCCAGTCAGTTGGAATCATGTGGGTGTGTATCGAGAAAAGGGAAACACCCCATTTCTCGAAGGGTGTTGGTCCGGTCAAGTCCTTCTTCGAAATCTGTGACTCTGTATCCAAACCGCATT